CTTGGGCAACTGTCATCTTTGTGGTTGAATGTTCAGTGCTGCGGAGAAGGATGATGTGTCTTATCTGAAGGTGGAGTGGGAGTTCCCTTTGGGAAGATTTTTCAAATTTCCCTGATATAAGATCTATTCGGGGTGTTGGTGAAACACACAGATCCAGGCATGTCCTTTGGGATTACCGATTCAGTGGGGTTAAACCATGTCCCTGAAATATGTATTTTTGACAGCCATGTGTTCGGTGTCATGTGGAAGTGAGGGAAACGCTACCCTATGAAGGGTGACTTTGATGGTGGTAGCTGATGCCTAAACAACCCCCATCATTGCCTGGAGGGTATTTCCTACTTTCTTCTCACTTCTTCCACATCTCTTTTCTGCATTCAGTCCCAGTCCTTACCTCAAATTCATCACCTCCTTGTCATTTCACTTCAGCCTACAATTTCCATTCTATTTCAAGTCACTCCCGTTCCACACACCCTGAGCCACAGTGGTAAACAATCTGCTATTGCATGCTCTACCAAGATCTTCAGAGCTTTTTTACTTTTTCACATTCTACTTTCTGCTTCAAATCTTTCTTTCAATATTTTGCCTATTGCACTTCCAGTTCTTCTTCAAGAGTTCACATGTCATTTCCTTCAGAAGTTGTCTTCAGCTCCCCCAGACACTGTTCATTCTTCTCCTGTAGCACTTTGGATTTATCTTATCTAGAATGCACATCATGTTGTAATTACTTGTTAACTTGTCTCTCTCTCTCCTTAGGCAGCATAGTAGAGATGGTGTCTTCACTCTATTTTGAAGTGTCCAGCAGTGAATATAGTAGGAATTGTAGACACATTTGCACAGACAGCTTCAGAATTTTAATAATTTTATTAAATTACAATCATCAAAATGGAGGTATGGGTTTGTTTATTTATGTAGCTCCATGTATTTATTCATTCATTCATTGATATACTTACTTAGACAAATATCTATTGAAATCCTTTCATAAAGACTAAGCATATAAAGTGGACAGAAACATTTATAAAATAATTATATAATCAATAAGAGATTTGCTACTGTGAAAAGTATCAAGAAGGACAGGCATACGGGGGCAGTGAAAGCATAAATGTGGTGGTGACAATTGATGCTGCTGATGAAAAGGAATTATCTAGGGCAAGAAGCCCGGAGATGGCTAGTCTTCAAGGCCCAGGAAAGAGACTGTTCAAGGGCCCTGGGGTGAGAGGGAAAGAGTCAGATAAAGACCTGAAAGGCAGTGTAGGGAGAACAAAATGAATTAGGGCCAGATAAAAGGCTGCGTTCCAAAGCACACAAAGTCTCACAGGCTCTTTTAGGAAGTTTGTCTTTGTCCTAAATGCAATGGGAAATCGTTGAAATGCTGATTTTGGTGGTTGGGCTATTACGTTTTTGTGGGGATTTATACTGGCCAAATGATAATTTGCTTTACTGTTTATTTTTGTTTAGATCATGCAAGTACCTTCAGGACAGGAAGCATGTCTTATATTTCTTAAGAGTTCTCAGCATCTAGTACTAGAAAATAAATAGAGTGGGTGACCCAGAGAGATGTGCTGCTTCTATCATTTCAGATTCTTGAGGCTGAGGCTTTATGTAAGGATATTTACACAGAAACTGAGTTAACCAAATCCTTGGGAGAGCTTACATTGATTCATGATTTGTATTAAAAAATTATGAGAAATATACAAGGTGAATTGGCAGCTGATTATCCACACTGTCTGAATTGAAAAAGACTGTGGGAAGTTAGTTGTCAGAGTTAGTTTAGAAAAGCCTGCTTCTTTGTGTAATAAAGTTGTTTCATTACTCATGATGTTTGAAGTTTTACAGAATCATTACTTAGGCCTTCAAGGACTCTTTAGTCTCTAAAAGTCCTCTTTGAAAATATTGATATGTAATAGAGGTTAAAAGATATATTAAATTTGTCCACTGACACCTTTGGGATATATTGATGGGCTCCAACTATTAGAAAATTCATACACTTGGGTCAGAGCCTCTGCATTTGTGATATGGAAGCAAGTTTCAGGGGCCAGTCTCTCAGTTTCCCCCCTGTGCTCTCTCAGCAATGAGCATCACTTTGTGAGTATTGGCAATGACTGTGCCATCGGCTCACACTGAATCTGTGTGGACTTTGGTTTCACAATAAATCTGGCAGTACTTTTTCTCCCTAACCTCTAGGACACTATGAAATTAGTGATATGGGGAAAGTGCAGTGAACTTTGGGAGATGAGTTGCTCTGTCCTGTAAATCAAGCTGTGGGTACTGTCCACCAAAGCCTTCAAGATTATTTCCCCCTCACCATTACTGGAGATTGAACCCCAGAGCACTCCATCACTCAGCTACCTCCCCAGCCTTTTCTAAAATTTTAATTTTGAGACAGGGTCTCACTAAGTTGCCCAGACTGGCTTTAAACTTGTGATCCTCCTGCCTCAGCCTCCTGAGTACTGGGATTATAGGCATGTGCCACTGTGCCTAGTCAAAGCATTTGGGTTTCATTGGATGTCTCAAATCAACTTCTCAGAAACAAATTCTGTTTTGAAAGACCCTGATTTCATTAGAACACCAGTAGAGCTGATATTAAAATTGTACTTTCTGGGGCTAGGGCTGTAGCTAAGTGATAGAGCATATGTCTAGCATGCATGAGTTCAATCTCCAGCACAAAAACAAAAACAAAAGCAAATATTCCAAACTTCTAATTTAATAACTAGTCTATACAAAAATAGAGAAATAAAGTCCTCTACAGGAAATGCCATCAGAATTTCCAGAGTTCTTTATTTGTCCTGCTGCCTAAAAAGTTGCTAATTGTTGGAGGGCAGATGAACAGGAAGTAGAGTCCTTGTTGAGGTTTTGTTGTGATAGTGGTTTTTCTAGAGTATTCCATGATGATGTGAAACATTATGAACTCTATGTATAACAAGGGCACATTTCCACAGCATATTTTCTAAGACTTTATAGTTATTTCTAGAGATTTCTCCACTCTGTCCTGTGGACTTCTACAACATCATTTTCAGATGTAGCAATTTTCTTACTGAATGAATTGGTGATTGTGGCAAATTTCGTATTACAATTTTTTTTTAAGAAATAAAACCATTCTGTTGGTAATTGAAAATGCTTTATTTCCTTATATCTTCAAAGTGATATCATAGCTTTTCTTCAGAATTTCAACAAATTAAAAAATCGCACCTGGATGTTAAGGACCTGATTGATTATTCAAATCATGACACAAACCAAAGACTGACTGCTCATGATTTACCCCTTTCTCAGAGATGCTTATCTCACATTCTATGATCTGTCTCATAGAGTCTATATCAGGGGTCTGCAAACTATAGGCCAAATCTGTCCAGCAAGCCTTTCTGTAAACAGGTTTTTATTGGAGCTTTACCAGGCCATTTAAGTGCTATCTGTAGCTGCCTATTGTCAGGACCTGGGAGGCACAGCCAATAAATGGCTAAGCCAGCATGCTGGGGATATTCTCATACTTTACTCACTGATCCCAGCAGGCAAATTTTGTTTTGCAATTTGATATTACATGAAAAAGGGAAGCATCTAGGAAGCAAATGTAGCCTGTAGCCTGTATTCTGTGCTCTTTCTACCCTCATTTGCATGCTTTTGGTTGAGATTATGTAGGGAACTACATAATCTGTGAAATGACTGAAATGTAAATTTGTGCATATTTATTTTATACACACACGTATACACTTGTTTTTTATACATACATACATATATCCATACACCTTGTTTGAGTTGCTATTGGAAAAGGCTCAGAAAACACAATCTTGGCTTATTTCCTAAATATCCAAGCCAGAGGTAACAAATATATAGCAAGTTTATTATCACTCTACCTCCCCTCTTCTGTCAGACACCACTAATATATTCTTTAATTCTTTCAGACAGAGCCTCAGAATCCTTAAAATATTTTGGGTAGCCATCCCCAATTAGCTGACTAATTGGCACATGAGATGCCATAATATCTTCCAAAGCTGGAAGAGCTTTGCATATTTCTAATTGTGAGAATCTTTTTTTTTTTTTTTTGGAATTTAGTTATTTGATGCAACCACTAATCTAACATGTCACCAATAAAATCTAAGCAGATTTATCACAAAACCAGGGTTATATTCATTGGACATGCATTAATAATCTATACAACTTAACATTACACCAGAAAAGGAATTTATAAAAGTTCTCTTAATTTTTGGTGGTTTTCAAATTTCATGGCACAATTACCAAAAAAACTGTAAAAACAGATTTCAAATATATTCAATAAAATGGTAAAAAATTGAATAAGCCTTTAAATTTTTATACTCAAGATTTAAAACATCAAGCTGGCCCCAATGTGTCAAAATTGACAGATAAATATTTACAATGACTAGACCGACTTTAGTTACATCGGTATTGGAGGTCTACTCCCTCCTCTCAAATCCCTTTGGGGTTAATTTCTCAATGCAAAACATGTCTTTGTAAATACTGTGGATAATATAAAATTTAAAACATGCCTACAATCAGGACAGGAATGAAAATAACATATAAGTCAATCTTTTTTCTGACCTGTTAGCATAAAGCCTTCTGGCTCCCGGTCAACACTGTCCCGTAATATAAAACTAGTAAGAGTAGAATAACTTCACCCTGTTGTAGTGGCTGACATTCTTCTACAGAATTACCTTTCACTATTTATCAAAGCAGGGCTTAAGCTCCATTAATCTGCTTCTACAGAGTATAATTAGCAGAGCACCAAATTTATACACTGGTATAGCAACTTAAAATGCTAAGCACACTTTTCAAACAGAAGCAAACCTATTTTTTCCATGTACCACATTGTTCTCAAAACTTCTGTGGCTACCAATAAGAAAATAATTAGGGAAGATTTGAACATATCTTGTACTTTTCATCAAGGCTAAAGTGCAAAATATCTCCATATTTCTGATATTTTAATAGGGTAAAAAAAAATCAAACACATAATAAAGGAACTAAAGTAACAGTAGGAACTAATACAAAAAGCTTAAATAAACAATTGAGGACTACGTATTACTATCAATTTAATTTTTCTTTCTTCAGTGAAATATGTCAATGACCCCTGTGCTCATAGAACTTAAGGTTTTGATTCTCTTCCCCAAGACCAGAACATCTAAACTTACAGGGAGGAAAAAAGGAAAAAAAAATAACATTGCATGACAATGGACACCAAGTTCATAAAGAGCCTCTTTTAAAAACGAGATATTATGGAAGAAAATACCATGAAAATAATAATCCTATGAGAATTGTTTTTAAGCACAGTAAGTTTGAGCCTCAGTCTTCATGAAGATACTACAGTTTATATAGAAAACTATAAATATACAAGACTCCAAGGAAAAAAAGTCAGAATACATATTAACAATCTGTAGGCCTAAAAAAAACTTTTGAGGGGAGACGGAAAGGGACGGCCAACTGAATCTTCACTTAAGAATACAGAACTATGAAAAATTCCCAGGTCAAAGGTGCTCCCAATGGAACCAAACTTTGTGAAAGCACACAACTTAGATATATTCTTCAAAGGAAAGCAAAAGTACTGAATAACTATAGTCCCTTCCAAAAAGTAAATCTTAAATTAAGGGGAAATGATTCTAAAAGTGTAAAAGAGTCTGGCTCAGAAAGAAAAATTGAACAACATATCCAAGATCTGTCCATAAAAGTAATGTTGGTACATCTTTAATATTAAAGAAACAGGCTATAAAAAAGTTCAGTCTCAGAATTGGTTTTTAAAAGCTCATTTGTGCTCCTTGGTGGGTGCGTAATAAAGTTCCATGGGTTTATTCACTTTCCAGTACTTCTCACTGACCAATTCCAAAGAAAGAGAGCCATTTAATACAGTGAACTGGCCATTTGCTGTTGCTATATAAATGGTATACTGCTTCTCACTGGCTGTATCAAGGTTCATCTGGTTTGATTCTCCCTTGCTTCGAAGTTCTTCTAAAGCTAATTTCACAGCCAGATACTTGGATAAGTGATCAACAGTGGCATTACCTGAAGTCTTTATATATCTTGTCTGTGCACTGTCATCTTTTTCCATAAGTGTGGGATGAGGCCTGAATACTAATTCAATTTCACTAGCACCATCCATTACTGGATCAATTGCCACTGTTGCATTGTTATTATCAAGTTCAAGCCCAGAATCATCACATGTTTTGGTCCCTTTGTTACTAGGGCCTGCTTCCTGATTGCTATGTGTGGATGCATTACTACAATGTGAACTGTCACCATTATCTTCTGCTCCACTGCCATTTTCAATCTGCTGTTTCTTGCCTCGCTGTAATCTGTTCATGGCCTGTATCTTCAGTCCTTCCTCAATGCTGTGACTGAGTGCCTGTTGATTATTGTGCTTGTTGATCCTGGCTAATACTCTCTTTTGATGAGCTTCATACTCATCACGACTTGGATAAATTTTGCTGATGAGTGCATCAAAGTTTGGATCTGGCCTTAGTGATCTTTTGGAAACTAGCTTTTTCCGACAAGTAGGACATTCTTTGTTGTCACTTCTAAGAGCTGTGATAATACAATCTGCACAAAAACGATGCAAACACTCCTTTGTAGTCATGGTGTTCTTCAACATATCCAAACAAATTGGGCACATTAATTCACTGTGTAGACTTCTAGGTGAAACCACAATCTCCAAGCCATCTGTTATTGCCTCCTGAGGTGTTCGTTGTAATTCATATAAATTGAGTTCCCATGTTTTGCTTAATGGTTGAGTTCTATTTGCCTGCACAGCCTGAGACATTGCGGCTCCTACCCCAGCCCGGGGCTCCGCTGGCCGCGGCCGGAGGGAGACTCAGGTATCAGCCCCCGCAGCCGCCGGCGCCACCGCACAATATGGCGAGCCTCGGCTTCCGCAATGGAGCTCGGGAAATACAACAGGGGCCGCTCAATACTCATGAAAGACTGAGGGGAAGCCGGCTCGGCCGGCGCTACGGGGAGGGTGAGGGAGGAGGCGGAGTGAGGGAGTGAGGGAGGAGGCGGAGGCGCGGGACGGGGACGTGCACGACGCGGGGAGGCCCGCGGCGCGAGGGGAGGGGGCGCCTCCGGGTGCTGGCCAGGACAGCCTGGGCGCCGCGCCCCGTCCTGGTCTAATTGTGAGAATCTTATTCCATCTTTTATTTTTTCCTTTTTTCCTCCTGTGATGAGTGATCTAGACCGCTAAGGCAGGAACTGGGGAAGTCAGACAGACCAAGGCTTTCTCAGGAGAATGCAGAGCACAGGCAAAGATGTAGAACTGAATAGTTTAGAGCAGGCTTGGAAAGTCACAGGAAATAAATTTGGTATTACTATAATTATAAAGTATGCATTTTATAAAAATATTAACTTTTTACCGTATTTTCTTTTTAATATTATTATTATTATTATTATTATTATTATTATTTGTTTTTTTTGGAACTGGGGGTTAAACCTAAGGCTTTGAGAATACAAGGCAGGTACTTTGCTACTGAGCTACATCCCAGCCCTTTTACCATATTTTCTGACTATCATTTTTGCAATCCACTTTTCCTTTTTTATTTCAAAAATATTGTGTATGTTATTTAAAAATAGAAATATTTAAATTTTATGTTCTTTGAGCAATTAGTCCTTTGCTATATGATGTTTTAGATAGATTTTAAGCTCAGAAACCCATCTTGTTTTTTAATTCAAGTATGAAATGTCTTGTTTGAGTGAGGATTTAGAAAGGACATTTAAAATCTTTAGAAAGGACATTTAAAATCTTTACACACACACATATGCTATACATATTTATATATTTCTAGCACCTGTGTATGTGTGTGAGAGAGAGCTATTATCAGACATTGGCTCACAAGTGATAGGGGCTGAAAAGCTCTAGAATCCATCGTCTGTACTGGAGACCCAGGGAAGCCAGTGGTGTAGTTCGAAGGCTTGAGAGCTAGAGGGACCATGGTATAGATTCTCCTTTGAGTCTGAAGATCCAACAACCAGGAGTGCTAAGAGCAGAAGACCAGTGTCTCAGTTCCAGCAGTCAGGTAGAGCTCATTTAAGCTTCCTCTACCTTTTTGTTTTATTCAGATCCTTAATGGATTGGACGATGTCCACCCTCAACAGATATCTTCTGCTTTAAGCAACCCACCAATTCAAATGTTAATCTCTTCCAGGAATGAGCTCACAAACACACCCAGACATAGGTTTAACCAGTTATCTGGGCACCCTGTTGCCCAGCTAACCATAAAATTAACCATCACAAGATTGAATTTACATATACACTGTGCATTCAGTCAAATTTTCTGACTATAGCACAGAGACAGCAGTAAAGTCAATGAATTCATCTAAATAACAATGGAAACATTCTTAGGTGCCTTTCACTTAAGCAATTTAGATGTATAACCAGTCAAGCCAATTATAATTCTTTTCCATTTTATCACCTAAATGTCTGGTAAAAATGTAATTCAGTAATCTAGGATCCAATGATTGGCCTCAGGGAACAGAATAAAAGATACAATGACATCCATAACCAGTGAATAGACTTAGAAACTCTTGAAGGGTAAGTGGCATTGCAATTTTTAACTTTCATTTTAATTCTGTGGTATTCAAAATGGAAGACCATGATAACTTTCTGCAAGGATCTTTACCAGGACTTTCATAATTTCTTTTTTCCCCCTCCCTTCCTAATGGAGGTATCTGTACTCCTCGTTCTCCTGGCCCTGGATAATTCTTGGCACTATTGAATCTCTTCTGACAGCAGAAAACAGTGATGAGGAGGTTGAATGAGTCAATGGCAATTTAATCTGGTCTTATTTTATTTGGCCTTGTGCAAGAAGAAACCTGATGTGGCTTGGAATTGTAATGCCAGGAATTACCTGATTCCTGCATATTTCTCCCATTTTTCTGCCTGGTGAATGACTTCTATGGGCATTTAAAGCATGTACAACATGGTAAATGTAGATTTGTTGCTTCAGCCCCTGAACTGGGTATCTTATTTCATTGCATTTAAAATTAAAGGAGGGAAATAATAGATTTTAGATTTTATTTATAGGGACAAGGCATTTGAGTGTATTCATATGAGTTGCTCTTTGATGCAGTACTGTCTTGTTTTCCTTTCAGTCAGACTTCTGGATTTAAGTGAAGGAAAAAATAACAACCAAAATAAAGGAATTTCTATAAATAAAATGTCATAACTATAAAGATCGACAACCTAAAGAATAGAATTAATATGATGTGATTAGTCTGTAAAAAAGGAGTCCAATGTTTATGTCTGGCTATGGAAGACCAGTTATGATTCAGAGAAGCTGAGACATGGTAGGAGAAGGTAGAGTAATGATTAGCAGAGAAGAGCTGGACGTAAGCATATGCAATAGAAGAAATAGCAGGAGGTGGTGGTGCTAATGTGGAAGAAAATTATTGTAGCAATTGTTGCATTGTGGCCCCAGTGGTCCATATAAGAACTTTGTTATCTTGCAGGAGGGTCTTTATGAAGAGGCCATCGGTGAAGCAAAATAAGGAGAAGAGCCCCTGAGGTGACAGAAAGAGAAGAGAATCAGACCATCTCAATGTCCTAGTCAAATCTAGCACCTTGGGGACCTCTCAAATGGATGAATTCACATGAATGATCATTGGTAAATCAACAGAGGAATTACCCAGCTAAGCCCCAACCAAATGATAGCTGTAAGCAAATGATGTGGTCATTGTGTTAAGTCACTAAGTACTGGAGGTAGTTTGTAATACAGCAAAAGATAACTGTTGGTATGATAATTGACAAGTCAAGGATGTCTCTTTCTTCTCTGGCATATTGTGGTGTTAAGTGGAGAAGAAGGCTTGAGACCACAGCAAAATTGGGTCATATCCTCACTTTGTCAATTTTTATCTCTATGGTGTTATTTGCTATTTCTGAGTTTCAGTCTTTTTAGTTTTAAAATGAGACAAATATTTCTCCTCTCTCAATATAGTTAAGACATTATGTGCGTGAAGGTTTAGGGCTATATGAAGTACACACCAAACAGTAGTTCTATTTCATATCCTCCCTATAGTTCCTTTTATCTTGAGGGGACATATAGTTATCTAAAGCCTTTTATTTCCTAAAACTAGCCCTGTGACCTGCTAAAGGCAGTTTTGTCACAGGTCAATGGACTTTGTGAATGAGTATATTTGATCAACAATCACTGTGTCTATATGAAGAAGAGATAAATTATCAAACCACAAGTAACAGATTTTTTTTAACAACAATGGCAGATTTTAGGGGTCATTACTGGAGTCCATGCACATTTGTTTCTTTGTCCCAGACTATCTGCCCTTGCCCCTCTGGAACACCACTCTTGCATGTTACAATAACTTGGGTTCCCAAGGAATGTTGAAGTTACATTCATCTTATTTTATTTCAGAAGGCACATACTATATTTCAGTTAGATTTTCACAAAAAAAGCATTCTTTCTCAATTGTTTGTGAAATTCATTCATTTAGGTAAAAACTAAACATTTCAAGGCAACACTAGATGAAATTTGGCACTCATTGATCCTCTGCCTTAGTACCAGAAGGTGATTTAGGATTTTGGAAAGGAAGTCTTATATTGTTTGTGTAATTTATGTTAAAATTTTGCAAACATCCAGTTTCCCAGCTCCCTGAGATAAAACAAAGTGTGCACACGCATACATACACATACACCAAAGGATTAAGGGGAAAAGAAATAACCTGCCTGGGCCTCAATTTCCAAATTGGGAAAAGAGAAAGTCAGGCTAGCTTTCTCAGACTGGAAGGTTTTCCAAGACTACTTCTAGCTCTGAGTGTAGTGGAAGTCTCACCTCCTAGTGCCTGCACTAGCCCTTCATAGAGAATAAGATTAGAAACACAGGTTGCTCCCCAGCAAAACTTTAATTGCAAAGCTTTAATTACAAAAAGAATCAAAATACACACTTAGGTTATGTTTTTTTTAAATTGTATTTTTATTTATTTATTTATTTATTTTTTTTACAAACTCAATTCAAACTTTAATATTTTTCCCTCTTTAAATAACAAGTACTTAATTGTCGTGAGGCAGCTATTCGGTTTTTGATAACCACATATAGGGATACATTCATAGGACTGCTTAGAAAGTCCAGGTGAAATGGATATAGAAATAGAGGCAGTGTCATCTCAGAAAACTCAGTTATATATCAAAATCTATTTTGATATCTGGAAGTTTACAAAAAGGCTGAATTCTTCACACTAATTACACTTCCTGTAACTCAAGCACTCTTTTCTTGTCAAGAGCAAGCTGAATCTTATCCACAAAGGTAAAGGTGCTTAATGCTAAACTTTTCTTCTAAGCCTACATTTGGATTGTTTAAGGAATTGATAATGAAGAAAACAGTGTGGTCTTTCTACATTTTTACTAATTTAAGATTAGAACACTAAAAATTCATTCACCAGCCATCTTCCTTTCTTATATTTTTCTTGGCACTCAAGACTATGGAAGTCTATTTTACTTTGTACTCTCACACTTACAAATAAAAACTTAAGGATATAAAGTGTGTACATTCTATAAAATAATATTGTCATTTAACCTATTTGGAGATGAGACTTTTATACCAGAATTTTACATGAGGATCAATATTATGAATCAAACTTCCTTAAAGTCAAATGACAGAAAACTCAAGCCATGTGCATTGTTTGTAAAGTCTAATGAGAGCATTTCTTGAACCATCACTACTGACAAACCAAAAAATTCTAAATATTGAAGATGGGGCAATGGGAGTAAAACACAAGTATTCCAGATGTCTCTCATAAAGTTATCAACCTGTTAAAGCCACTCTCTACGTGTCAGAAAACGTTCTGACAAAAGCCAGTCTGTCAGTAGAGGAGGTCACAGTGATATCTGCATTATTAACACTTTATGCTTCTATCTTTCTTAGAAGCAATTTGTTTAACAATTCCCCTTATCCCAAATCCTTAAACTCAATATTGTAGGCACAGAGTATAAGCAAATCTGGGATGTTCTCCAACAGATAAGCAATAACATAGCTATGTTATTCTCAAAAATACTGTTTAGATATTTTTTCCTATACAATCAAATGTTCAGTGGCCACACTTTCAATTAACAATCTGCATTAGTTGACATTAAATGCATTTATTGTGCCACAGTCCATCTAGGCTTCCTTTTAGGTATTTTTTTTTAATATGTTTACGAGAAAATACCTGCTTTAGGTTGACTTAGGGATACTGACCTATAAGGACATCAACTCCACTTTTAAGGTTAGACTATTATTGGGTTTGCTGAAGGAAAAAGGTTGGGGAAAATAAAAAGAGATCACAACAAAGCTCTTTAGGTCAGTTAAAGGCCATATCTCTAGCTGGGAGAATAAAAAAAGTTTTTTTCACCAGCTCATACTCTAAAAATTAATGACTCTAATATCAATAGAAAAGAGAAACAAATCTTCTAATAACCAGCTCACTCATTAGCAAAAAAGCAGTTTAACTCAAATGCTTTCAGACCAAAATATAACACAACCTACCCAAACTGCCTCATCCATCAGTCGGGGAAAAAATTGCTTTAAAAACCTAAATAAACTTGATATTTCTTACGAAGATAAAAATGGTCCAACTCCTGAGAAAGTGCTCAGAAGAACTAAAGGTGGAGTGAAGGCAATGTCTAGGGATTAACATCCCACAAATAGTTTTTAAGAACCTAGAGTACCACAAACACACTAAACTTGTCTATGAATTACAGAACAAGATATTGCTGCTGCTTCTTTTTATCTTTAGAAATAAACAATATCTGTAGGCTCTGCCCTTCAATGTGAAAGCAGGAAATAAGGAAAAAAAATAAAATTGAAATCATCTGACACCCAAATTTTGGGACCATACATTTTAACTGTGAAACTAAACAGATCTACCTTCTCCTTCTTTCAAGACAACCACCCTATACACACACACACCAAAAAAAAAAAAAAAAAAAAAAAAAGAGAGAGAGAGAGAGAGAAAGAAAAACTAAAACAATCCAAACATGATTATTTTTAAAAGTCCTTGAAAGTAAAGAAATGAGGAAAAAAAGGAACAAGTAGGGAGGAAAACTTAGGAAAGGCGGGGGACAGGGGCAGGGAATCAATGGGCCTCTCTTTTATTTGGCGACAAGCAAGTGCAAGAAAGTTCATTTGTAATTTGTTCAGTTGTCTGTTTTCTGCCCATCTGCATTCTGACCAGAAGGGACTTTGAGGTTTTTCTGAAGCACATGAGCATCTGCAGGCTCTATCCTCTTATAGTAGTTCTTCTTTGTCTCAATAATCTCAAAGCCAAACTTCCTGTAGAAGTCAATTGCTGACTCATTGCTGATCTGAACGTGCAGATAGATGTTGTCAAAAGTGCCATCTTTTTCACAGATGTTTAGGACGTGATTTAGCATTTTAGTTTCTATTCCTAGCCTTCTGTAAGGTGCAAGACATCCTAGTGTCATGATGTAAAGTCTCTTCTGATTCTGTGAATGATCCACCCTGCAGCATACTGCACCTACAGCAATATCATTGAAATAGGCAAGTTTTGCTAGCTCGCCAACCTCCAGCACATCCTTGTAGAACTTGTCATTGTAGCTGACTGGAAAAATGACCTGGTTCAATCTCTTCAACTGTTTAATATTGTGTGGTGTTACATCTCCCGACTCAATCCGGCTACCTTTCATCTTCCCCGCCTGCTGAGGCCATCGTTACCACCGCTATCAACGCCGTCGTCCTCGCCGCCCGGAGCTCTAGGGGCCCTCCAGCCCACAAGCCGGCCTCCTCGCCTAGGGCACAAAGCTGAAGGGGTGACTGAGGCCGCGAAAGTTGAGGGCGGCCCTGAATCTCCGAAGGGGGCGGGGGTGTCTCCAGCAGCCGCGCTGGTGCCGCGGCTTCTTCACACGTGCACTCAGGGCACTCAGCTCCCGCCCGCCGCCGCCGCCGCCGCCAGCCAGTTAAATTGTATTTTTAATTGTGTTTTGTCTCCATTTTCTTTTAAAAGAGAAACGAAAACTTCAATTTGCCAAATTGCTGTACATGTTTCCTTGCTGGGTAGTTGCCCTAGCAAGTTAACCTAAAATGATTTTCTAAAATGTATTTTTAATGAGAAAATCTGATCCCTGAAATTTGTCTTAAACATTTTTTTTTTCTTCAAACCTCTTATAGGACTCTGGAGTTTCCATACCTTAGTGCCAAGAGCATAGCAAAGGAATCCAGCTCAGTTTAGTAATTACTTGTGTTACTCTAGCTCAAAGTTGTTTTGCTCTTAATGGCTTAGGAGAGCCATTTGAATACTTTGATTCTTGTAATAAAAGTTCTAATGGGGAAAGTAGGTGAATGCCCATGTAATGTTTAGCCTATTAAAACAGTGATATTCAAAGCTTTTGCAGATAAAATTCTTACCAGGGACTATGAATAAGGACAGGTCAATTGTAAGGAAAGCAAGAAAAAAATAAGAAAGTCAAAGTCAATTGGGAGAGTCTTTTCCTTCTTCAAAATAGGGCCCACAATATAGGGGAATTTATTTTTTCTCCCTTCTTATTGGAAGAGGGAAGATTCTCCCCAGTAATCTGCTGATTTCATCCTAAGCATATTAGTTAGGCTTCCCCAGAGAAACAGAACCAATAGGACACACACACACACACACACACACACATACACACATACACACATTATATATGAAGAGATTCATTAAGAAGAATTGGCTCACCCAATTATGGAGATATGGAAGTCCAGTGGACTGCAACCTGGAGACCCAGAAAGCTGGTGGTGTCATTCAATCCAAGTCCAGAGGCCTGAGAAAAAGGGAAGCCACTGGTGTAAGTCTCAGTCTGATGGCAGACTCAGACTGCTCATGCAGGCAGGTAGAAAAAAGGGACAAAGTCTCCCTTCCTTATTTTCTTGTTCTAGTCAGCCCATCAGTATTGGGAAAGGCCATCTGCTTTCCTGAGCCAAATAATTCAAATGCTTACCTCATTTAGAAACACATGCACACACACACAAATAGAAGTAATGTTTGAAAAATATCTGGATGCTCCATGGTCCTGTCAAGTTTACACATAAAATTAACCCACATACCAAGGCTTCTCAGAGCATGTTTGTTTAACTATAGTTTCTCAAACTATCTGTGGTGAACAAAAGTTGCCTCCTTCCCAACCACTGGGTACTGACGCTTGTGTGAAATACAACCAAAATGAACCACAAATGTGGTACATCCACACAATGAAATATTATTTAAACATAAGAACATATGAAGTATTGATAGATGCTACAACATAGGTGAACCTACGAAGTAAAAGAAGCCAGACACAAAGGGCATATACTGTATGATTCCATGTATGTGAAATGTCTGGAGTGAATGCCCATGTAATGTTTAGCCTATTAAAATATTCAGGCTGGGGATGTGGCTCAAGTGGTAGTGCGCTTGCCTGGCATGCACGGGGCGCTGGATTCGATCCTCAGCACCACATAAAAATAAAAAAAATAAAGATGTTGTGTGCACCGAAAACTGAAAAATAAATATTTTAAAAAATTTCTCTCTTTCCCTCTCTCTTAAAAAAAAACAAAAACAGTGATATTCAAAGCAAGAATATGTAGAGCAAGAAAGTTGATAAGGGCTGGGGGTTAGAGTGCAAATATTGAAGAGTGAAAATTAAGTAGAGTCAGTTGTATTCTGACTCTAGTATTGCAGTATGTATATACATGGCTGTATAACCAATGTGATCCTGCAATCTGTACATGTGGAAAAATGAGAATTCATACCCTATTTGAATCAAATGTATGATATGTCAAGATCATTGTATTGTCTTGAGCAACTAATAGAAAAAAGAAAATTAAGTAGAAGTGATGAAATGTTTTAAAATTGACTGTGGCTGTGGATAAATGTTATTAAATTATATAATTTTAATGTGTAAATTGTATGGTTATTATTTAATACTAAGAAGAAATGAGCTATTAAACCATGAAAAAATATGTAGGAAACTTAATGATCATTACCAAGTGAAATATTGCAATCTGAAAGGCTATAGAACACAAAATTCCAACTATGTGACATTCTAGAAAAGGCAAAACTGTGGAGACAGTAAAAACATCAGTGGCTTTCAGGACTAGTGGGAAGGGAGAGAGGGATGAATAGGTGGAGCACAGAATTTTTAGGGCAGTTAAACCATATTTTATGAAAACAGAGTATTAGATACATATCATTATACATTTGTCAAAACCTATAGGTTTTACAACATAAAAATTGAAGCTTAATGTAAACTATGGCTTGAAGTGATAATAATGTGTCAGTGTAGGTGCATCAATTTGCAACAAATGTACACTCTAATTTGGGATGCTGATAGTAGGGGAGGCTGTGACTGCATGGGAATAGGGGGCTATGAGGATCATCTATACTTTCCACTTAATTTTTCTAGGAATCTAAAACTGCTCTAAAAACAGAGTCTATTAAAAAAAAGAATAAAACAAGCATGGTGGCACATTCTTGTAATTCTGACTATTCAAGAGGCTGAAGCAGGAGGATCACAAGTTCATGGACAACTTATTGAGATCCTGTCTCAAAGAGAACTTTCTTAGCACATTCGAGGCCCTGGATTCAATCTCAAGTATAGAAGAAAGAGGAGGAGGAGGAGGAAGAAGAAGTCAAGGAGGAGGGAGGAAGCATGACTATCTCATAAGGCCCAACTTGAGGGAGTATTCCCTGATTCCCTGACCCATCTCTCCCCACTTAATCCTGGCAGAAAAACTACTTGTTCCTTTATATAAGTTCCCACTGTGTATTATTCCTGCTTCTTTTATAGTTTGCATCACATTGTTTTATAGTTGTTTTGGGATCTCACTTCTTGAACTACAATCTACTTGAGGGCAGAGGCAATGTCATATTTTTTTTGACATTTATACAGTACTGGAAGCATCACACAGTAGAGATAGATGTATATTGTGTGAATGTATGAAGAACCTCCTATAATGAATCTTTTTTCAATGCAGTTTTAAAATAAACTGCAATGAATGATTCTCTTTAGGCTTTGGGGTATCCTGAAAACAGGCGCCTTTAAGAGGTTTCTCCCAGGGACAGTGGTCAGGACGACAATGAGAGAGTATTGAGGAAAGTTCCTAGGAAATTGAGAATATACAAAAGTCCTAAACTAAGAACTTATCCATACTAAGAATCCTCACATAGTAGCATATTACTCTAGTAGAGCTTTGGGCAAATACTCCTCCTTGGAGACAATATAAGCAATTGAGAAATTTGGGATAGGACTTCTGTATCTTTGTACCTTTCTGTATCTTATGTACCTTTGTAGGTAAATGGGGAGATGTTAGGGGACAACAAAGGGATGACTTCATTGTAGAGGAAGCTATCTCAGCTACCACCCAATGTCTCCCTGAAGTGCTCTAGTGGGAGCATATAGAAGTCTTACAGTTTAGATAAATGTAAATGTGTGAATGTTTTTCCTGAGAATATATCCCCAGGAGGGATGAAGCTTTACTGTTATTCATTTTTAGCTCAGTGGGGATCATGGTATGTAGTTAATATTTCTTAAAAACAGACTTTACATAAAGAAAAATGAAATTATGTAATTTTCAGGAAAATGGATGGAACCAGAGACTATTATGTTAAGTGAAATAAGCCAAACTCAGAATGTCAGGGTTCATATGTTCTCTCTTAGATGCAGAAGTTAGAGAGGAAAAAGGAAAAGAAAGATGGGGGACGACATCATAAAAAGCAAAGGGAGATCAGTAGAGGAAAGAGACCAAAGAATGGGAGGTGGGGAGGAAGGGAGAAAGTGTTGGGGAGTGATATTGGCCAAATTCTATTATTACATTGTGTGTATGTATGAATATGTAACAACAAATCCCATCATTATGTACAACTATAATGCACCAATAAATATATGGATTTTTATATAATTTAATATGATTTAATTAAAAAAACCTTAGACTTTAAGAAGACAATTGAGAAAAAAAAAACAAAAAACTAGAGACACTGCTAAGATCAGAAAGGAAGTTACCTGAGAGGTGACAGGGCACCCAAAATAGCTTTCTTATCTTCCCAAATTTGCCAGCATTTAATGGACAGATGCACATTTTTAGCCACACAACTTCTTTAATTTTGGGACTAGGGCCTATGTCTTGTTCTAAGAAATCACTTATTAATATTGTTTTAAATAGAAGCATTGAGACTGTAGGGGATTTATTAGTCAGGGCTCTGCTCCTCCTTTGCTGTGTAATCTATAGAAGTCACCACTCTCAGTGTCTTACCCTCTTTGATCTTGGTTTTATTCACTGAGAAAATGGGCTTACCAATACCTGTCCTGCTTACCTTGCAGGGTAGTTGTGAAAAATCCATTGAGATTGCTGGAAGTAAAGGTTATGTGAATTGGACAAACAAATGATTATGTACAGTTGATGTTGGTATAGGAAGGGTAAGTGTTAAGAAGCTCCATCACTTAATATCAATGGAGTTTATTGGTGGCACCAAACAATTGATGCATTTAGTCTCTGACTCTTTTAAGTTGTGAAGGACCTTCTATCATATTCTGGAAAGAATCTTATTAGCATTTAGGAAAAGCATTATTATAAAAACTTCTTGCAGGTTTTAACTCTAGGCACATATGTGTATTTAAGAATATCTAGTCATACTGGCCATAGGATTCAAGATGGCAGATTAGAGGAAGCCTGCATTTTCAGTTGCTTTATAACTCAGGATTTAAGCAGCAGCAGAACTGCTTCTCAGTGAGCTCGGTAAAAGACAGAATTCACTGGAGTTCAAGATGAG